TCAGGTGAGGATTAAAAATAAATAAATAAATAAATAAATAAATAATAAATAAAGTAAATAGGACTACAGTGGAACCTGGGTTCTCAAACTTAATGTGTTCTGGAAAGCTGTTTGAGAAGTGATTTGTTTGAAAACGGAATCATTTCCCCCATTAGAAATAATGTAAATTGAATTCATTTGTTCCAGACCCCCAAATAATTCTGTTTTAATCTTTCTTATATACAGTACTAGAGGTCCAATGCACGAAATTCATGCAAGAGCAGGCTTTCCTTCCCCCGGCTGCCGGCATCAGCTTCCCTCTGGCCACCAGCAGGCACCTGGGACCCAGGCTTCCCTCCGGCCCCAGCTTCGTCCAGAATGACATCCAGTCTAATTAGCATATTACCCTTTTATTATTATAGATATGTCTAGTGTACTGTTTAATCTATACACTTTTCTTAAATTTATCTAACTACCCCCTGCTAGCCTTAAAAAGATCACTTTCAGCACTTGTTTCAGGGGTGTCTTTCAGGTCAGTATGCAGCATCTTCACTTTTTCACATATCACTGCCTCCAAAATGCTGTCACCAGCTGCTTTTCCTTTCTCCAAATCAACAACAGTGTCTCTCCCTCTTTAATTGCCTGTGATCATTGTTTCTTTCACACCCTTAGCAACAATAACACTCTTAATGACTCTTTAAGTTTTAAAATTGTACTAATGGCCCATTTCACCAGCAACAAATGCAAAAAATAAAAATATTCATGTCCTAGCCAGTTTTCTCAGTGATTAGAGCATTGGCCTGAGGACTGAAGGGTCATGGGTTCAATTCCTGTCAAGGGCACATACCTGGGTTTCAGGCTCTATCCCCGGACCCGGTCGGGGTGTGTGTGGGAGACAACCAATCAATGTGTTTCTCTCACATCGATGTTTCTCTCTCTCTCCCCTTCCCTTCCATTCTCTCTAAAAATAAATGGTGAGGATTAACAAAACAAAATATTCACAGCACAATTTCCTGAGATAATAATGCAATGTTTAGCAGTAAAATGATTCATACTGGCACATTCTCTCCTTTGTGGCCTGAGAGATGCTTATTTTCAGGCTGTTTGAGCATGAAAGGGTTGTCAGGCCCAGAACTGAATTGTTCCAGATGGGAAACATTTGAGACTCAAGGTTTAACAGTAGTTACTTTTTCTTGGAACAAATGTAATTTTAGAAGTTAGTAGCAAACGTTTTTCTCATTTGCAATTTATACTGGTTTAATAGCATCATATAGCCTTCATCTAAAACAGGGTTTCTCAATCTTAGGTCTATTGACGTCTGAGACTAGGTAATCCTTTGTTGTATGGGTCTACCCTGTACATTGTATAATGTTTAGTGGAATCTCTCCCTTTATCTGCCAATACCAGTAACACCCTCCTCCTCAGTTTGACAACCAAAACATTTCTAAACATTGCCAACTGTCCCCTGGGAGAAAGGGAGGAGCAAAAGCACCCCAGGTTGAGAAACACTTATCTAACCAAACCTATTTGGAAAAATGGCACCTCATTTTATTTTTTTTAAAGTTGGGTTTAAAAGAATATTTTGGAAACAATCTTTTAAAAATGCAGTTCAGTAATAAACATACCCTCTTAGAGATCCATGAACCCACAAACCCAGTGAAAGTCAGTGGTTATTATGCCAGTAATGATGTGTGCTATTAAGTTATGTTGAAGAGCCTAATCTTCCTGCTGAGTATTGTGGTTGGACTGCTCAACCAAGATGGGCTTTCTTCACACAATTAATACTTTTGTTATTTTTTGGTAGGTATCGAAAAAACCACACTAATACTTTATACCTGATCATTATGTTGGTATCTTTTGATGTCATTTATGTCAAGGAAATTCAGACTAAATATTAGTAGGAGCGTATATTTCAGAATATGACTCAGATATTCTGGGTCTGTACCTGTATAGACTACTTTTGAGTGACAGCAGGAGTCAGAATTTTATGAACATCGTGACTAAGTCATAATCAGTGGAAACTGCATATTATTACTATTCCTAATATGATGTTCTTAGGTACCATTGAGTTTCTAGAACATTGGAAACCAAACTATAGCTATGTAAAACCGAAAAATTATTATTTAAAAAATATTGATCCCAGCTCTCCAAACATGCCAAGCTTAGTTTATCAACAGGTTTCAAAGACCAATTTCCCATTCCAGATGTCAGTTAGCTTTCTTACTAGCTTAAGAGAATATTGATCAAAGCGGGGTGGGGGGGGGAGGGGCGGGGAGAGGTAGAAGAGGGTAAAGTGGGGATAGATTGTGAAGAAAGGAGACTTGACTTCAAGTGGTGGACACACAATACAGTATAGAAATGATGTATTATAGAGTTACTAGAGGCCCGGTGCACAAAATTTGTGCACTGGGGAGGGGGGGGGGGGAATCCCTCAGCCCGGCCTGTGCCCTCTCGCAGTCTGAGAGCCCTCGGGAGATGTCTGACTGATGGCTTAGGACCTCTTCCTGCGGGGAGTGGGACTAAGCTGGCAGTCTGACATTCTTAGCGCTGCCACAGAGGCAGGAGAGGCTCCAACCACCGCCGCTGCACTTGCCAGCCGTGAGCCCAGCTTCTGGCTGAGAGGTGGTCCCCCTGTGGAAGCGCACTAACCACCAGGGGGCAGCTCCTGTGTTGAGTGTCTGGCCCCTGGTGGTCAGTGTGTGTCATAGTGTCCGGTCATTCTGCCATTTGGTCAATCTGAATATTACCCTTTTATTATATAGGACTAGTGGCCCGGTGCACGGATTTGTGCACATTGAAAGAATTAATTAGAAGAAATATTTTAATATCACTATTCGCCCTTTCTCTATTAATAGAAGTGTCAACCAAATTCGCAATCAACGACAGATTGTAACACACACGTGCGAATGGCACCAGCAAGAGTTTTTTCTATGTATTGCACATGCACAAATCAACTTAGTGTTTTATATCTATAGAATAGACTTGCTTAATTAGACCTGCTTTCTGACTTAAACTTTTTCCAGCCCAATGAAGCACCACAACTTCTCTTTCAGGTAATTGTCAGCAACACAGCAATAAATACCAACACTAAGCAGATTATTATTGTAGATCACACAGGGAGAACAAAGGGTAAAATATTTAACTGCAGCAGTGTTTGACTATATTCTGCGCAGTGAGAAAACCTGAAGTCATTTTCAAGGTCCACCATTTCTTACTTCTTTTCAGTTGGGTCAAGTTTCTAAACTTTCTAAATCTCCATTTTCTGGCTAATGAAAAAAAAAAAAAAAAGGATTCTGCAGAGACTCCTATCTACTTACTCCAGGACTTCTGTGAGGATCAAATGAGAGGCACGGGAAAACGCTTCACAGACATTTGGTTAATGTAAAATGTTTGCACCTGGCTATAAAGCAAGTCACGTTCCTAGGCTGAAAAAACTCGAACGGGGCTACTCACTAGGAGAGGAAGCTGGGCATTGATACGTGACATTACCCGGCGCCCACAGTGAATGTTGCGGGGCTGGGCTGCATTTTGTGCCATGGGGTGTTGGCAGCGTTGGCTGCGATTTGATGGGGTGTTGCTCTGGGGTGATGGCAGGGCCTGTGTCTCACTGGAGGGAAGCTGAGTGTTGCTTTGTCGGCGCCAGGTCTGTGGTGCCATTTGTTTGTAAATGGTCAGTGCGAGTCACAGCAGCTCCTGTGTTGAGTGTCTGCCCCCTGATGGTCAGTGCACGTCATAGTGACCGGCTGGACAGTCAGAGGGATACTTAGCATATTAGCCTTTTATATATATACACCGGAAACCCATAATTATATTAACCACTGTCACCCAATAAACTCAATTTTTTAAAAAAGAACAAGAGAATACTGACCAAAGCATATTGCAAAACAGAAGCAGGTTGTAGTGATGGGCTACTTTTGCTGGGAAGACGATAGAGATGTATTATCCTTTACATGTGTCTATCGCTAACTTTGTGGATACACGTCTCTAAGGTTGTAGAAAAGATACTTACTGCTTCAGGAGAATTGGACTCACTTCCTCATCTATGATTTTGCATTCTGCTTAATCTTCCTTTGGGGGACTATGGGCTCCCTTTAAAGGACTTATGAACATTAATAATTCCACTTTAATTATTAATATTATACAATGCTCTGCTTTGGTTGAGGTAGGTAGGAGTTTAGGATATAGACAGTGCCATAAAGTTGGGCCAGAAAGTTAGGGCCCTCTTATTTGCTGTCATACTATTGAATCTGCATGACTAGACCAGGCCCACCACTACATTGACTGCCATTTCTCTAGTTCAGTGATGGCGAACCTATGACACGCGTGTCAGAGGTGACACGCGAACTCGTTTTTTTGGTTGATTTTTCTTTGTTAAATGGCATTTAAATATATACAATAAATATCAAAAATATAAATCTTTGTTTTACTATGTTTGCAAATATCAAAAAATTTCTATATGTGACACGGCACCAGAGTTAAGTTAGGGTTTTTCAAAATGCTGACACGCCGAGCTCAAAAGGTTCACCATCACTGCCCTAGTTCATCACATATTATATCTGGTCTGCGACTTCCCTTCTATCAGTTCCTGTGTTAACATTTGAATTTGTAAACTCTGCCAGGACAAAGCTTGGGCTAGCATTTCACACTATAAATGAGTATTCTCCAGTAAAATTTTCTTATTTTTTTAGAAGAAATCCATTTGAGGTATCAGTGTTTGCCTCATGTGGTTGTTTTTTTTTTTAAGATCTGAGAAACGAATATATACATATTCGTTTACATATATGATCTGAGCCAAAATCCCCATCCTCATCATAACTAAGGAATGACATTGATAATGTGCCATTTCACAGTCCCTCCTGTTACCTCTGATTAAGGAAAGCTATACTGTCCCGATGGAGTTACAGGCACTAGTATCCCCCCACTTGTAATAACCGAAACCAAAAACAGATAAAATACATGAAACAATGGTTTTCATGATAAAATATGAGTTTATATTTTCAAATAAACACAAATTAGCCCAATTAATTCTGAATAAGTAGTAACAACTTTATTTTAACACAAAGTGCTGAAATGCCAAAAATATTTTCAGCAACAAGATACCAAAAGTATGTATCTCATCAACATGAGCTGATTAAAAATGAGGCTGAAAAGTTCGATATAAGTCTTTATACATTTGAAACTTGAAAATCAATTTCCCCCAGAACTAATATTTAAATAATTTTAGCAGAATTTTATCTTCAAAAGTGGGACTCACTTAAGTTTTATCTTCATTCTAAAAACCTGAATGCACAATTAACTGGGTTACAGTATACAATGATAAACTCTAACAACAGAAAAAAATTTAAATATAAGAATTCCTTTTCAAACATTAAGTCCATATACTGCAAGCAGAAAACACGGTGTGATGATTTAATTCCTAGTGAAAAGGAAGTCTTGCATATGGTAGGCACTCTATATTTATTCAAATGGACCTAAAATTTACATCATTCCATGAACACTTAAATAAAGTAGAGCTCATAATCTGTATAAAAGAGGTTTGCAAAATACTCTTATTTGTGTGTGAAAGTGCTGTCTTTATAATCTGAAAACACTAAACCCACCCGCCCACCTTATTTTGCAAGAATATATTGAATATTTTTATTTTATTCACCAAAGAGCATGGAAGTCCAACTTGGAATAATTCAATACTTGAAGTATACTTGGCTATGAAAAAAGCTTGTGAGTTTAACAAAACAACTTACTGAAGTCCCCAGTGTTATATTTTAGTAACACTGGGTAGCATCTATGATTCACAATTTTATAAAGAATTCTGCTTAGGTTTTAAAACTTATGCACAAAACTTAAATGGGTAAGTAAATTAGTAATTATACTTTTGGCAATTTAAGCTCTAACTTAGGTATAGTTTTTTAAAAGCCAATAATGTTCATGACAACATTTTAAGAGATCGTTAATATTTTAAACTTAATTTTAGAATTAATGATGTCCTAAAAAGGCACTGTTTGTCATGCAGTAAATTAGTCACATTTTTGAGAATTATAATTTCCTCTATCAATCAATTGTCCCAAGTAAAGCACATTTAAATGGTATATTTCAACTAGCCTGAACTTTCAATGTTTAACTGAGTCCTATTTTTAGAAATTAACTCTTTTGAATATATCACACACAAGTCCAAGTGAAAACAAGTACATGTACACTCACACACACACATGCACGCAAACGTGCACACAGATGCCTAAATAACCACATAATACATGCAAGGTTCTCCAATTACTATTTTAAGACAATGACACACGAATATTCAAGGAGGTAACAATGGCAGCCATAATATTATGGCACCTTCATATTTGTGCTCCAAATACCAATACACATTAAAATTCAAAAACAAAAAAGGCACAAATATAGTGTTTCCCTATCTGAATCTAAAGGACAGTTTTCCAATGGTTACTTTTGTATTTATATAATGTTTAAAACCAGTCACTACTTTTTAAGAAAAGTTCTGTTTAGGTGACAAAAGAGAAACAGGAGCAGGCTGATAATCAAAAGGCAAGACTGCTCTAGACAGAATCTGTGCCTACTCAAAACAATGAATTTTAAAAACAAAAAAAGGCTATTAGAGCACTTATTTCAGAACACATTAACAGTTTTCTATCACAGCCTCAAGAACCCACACAATACCAAAAATATACATAATAAATAAAAAAAATAAATCAGTTACCATATGGTTCTGTTAGTATAAAGGTAGGCATTATATTATCTGAAAAGTGGACATTTCTACAAACATGGATCTTCTTACAGCACAGTGTTTGACGTTTTTGGTACAAAATGTACTACCAAACTAAAATAATACTTATAATAAAACCCTTAAGATTTGCAATAAACATGAAAACAAGTAAGTGAGGGAAATCTGAAATGTTCATTATATGGTGTTATTAGTGAAGTCACTATAGTTAGAAATGTAGATTCAAGCAGTGAATTAATTCACAATGTGCCTCTGTGCATTTGATATACATGGGTTCACCAGCGTTTTTTGTTTTTTTTATATATATGACAACAAAATTCTATAGCCCGAGGAAGGAGTTTTTGTTTTCTTATAAGACCCAGGCAAAATTTAAATTAAAGTCTTAGTATATATGTATGTGAGCACGTATTTTTTTAATTGTACATTACAAATTTAATTAATTCAATCTTATGGCGAAGTTAAGAAAGTGAATTTCTGCTCACTATAGCACTGATGGAGTCCACTAATATTTAAGAATCTTTCCTTTATCCCAAAGTATTCTTTCAATTTAAAACTTAAGTTAACATAACAAAGACTCAATGAAATTACAAAGGGCAAAATGAAGATATCTGAAAAAATAAGGTCTTTCAAACTCATTTGTTATGGATAACAAATGTGTATTTGACAGTGTTGTTCAATGTAAATATGAATCACTCTTGATGTATTAGAATTGCTCAGGGAGTATCTAACAAAGAAATACAAAAAAACCTATTTTAAGACCTCAGGCTTAATTATTTTCCTTTTGTACTAAATTAAAAACTAAATAAACAAATTATACAAATTTTAATCTGGAGAACAGTTATGTATGCAAATATATAGGTATGTGCATTTTTTTCCAGTGACACACTTTTCCCCTTGTGGTCCAACATCAATCTTGCCTAAGAAGTATGCTGTCCTTATTTCAGGAAACCAGATGCAGAACAGACCTCCACTGTGAACAGAGCAATCCAACACTGAGCATGTGTATGTGTTTAAAGCTGAAATTCATTTATAATAAAGAACTGGCCCATGAAAAGCAGATTATAAAGTTTATCCTGTTCACATTATGCACAATTTCAGTATCATCCACAATGTTAGTACAGTAACTGAAACAGAAAGGAAAAAACTAAGGGGATGGGGAAGGTTCAGAATGTGGCCTGACAAGTTTCTGAGGGTTCTCAGGAAAGGAGAGACTTTAGCCTGCAAATAATATCAGTTTGTTGTTTTTAGGAGAGTAGACCGTCCAGGATTCACTTATTGTTCAGATGCCTTCTCCAATGTGTGATAAAAAAAAAGAGTGAATTTAATAATGATTAACTGAAATGGAAACAAATTTAACTATAATGAAGGATATCTTTCTTATCTATTATCACAAACAGCCAGTTACCTCCATCTGTCTTAAAAAATTATTTCAAAAGTTAAGACACAATTAACTATACCTTATTAATTCCCTCAAAAGCAAAAAAATATATGTACCATTCAGCATACAAAAGTTACACATTAAAAGTGCATATATATCTCTCTTAATTGGCCCACTCATTAAATTTACATTTGGTCATCCTTACTTTTAACATGTACAGAATTCTTCATATAAATGTAGGCCACTATAAATTAAAAAAAATTATTTCAGCACAAAACATGCTTTCTTATTGAAATCTTATCCTCAATCAGTTCTCAGTAATTGTAAACTTGGATAAACCCACAAAGAAACACAAGCAAAGGTTTGTTATGCTTCTCAGTTTTCTGGACAGTTAACATATAAACATCACAAATTCTACTAAAAATCTGGGCCAACTCATTGCATAATTGCCCCTGAAATGAAAAATAAATTAGAACTGAAGCAGTGTATTGCCATAACTTACCTTGAAGGCAAGCAGGTTCTCCTGTATTTATAGAACTTAGACTGGAGACATTAACAGTTATCTCCAATACAAGTGCTTTTAAGAACCTAGTCTTAAACTTTGAGATAGCATAGCACAAACCCTAGAAAATTAATTTTGCTTTTCTGAAGCTAATGGAAGATCCTTTTGAAACTTAATATCTTCAGTTGTCAATATTACTGCATTATGGAGCTAGTGCAATCCTGCATAGCCTTGGTCAAAATGACAAGGCACAATAAAAAAATTAAAGTATCATATGAACAAGAGAAGTCACTGGAGATAATTTAAGGCCTTGAAGTGAATTAGAGTATAGTCAGTCTAATTTAAAGCTGAAGAATAAACCATAAATTATCCACCTGAAATGCAAGCCATACGCTTTTTCAGCTTCTGCTCTGTAGACAAGACAACAGAAACAACTCTTGCTTATGGTTTGTCTATTAGAATCCTTCTGGACCTGGAGGAATAAAAGTCAATTCCATTTTTCTACAGTTCATGGAAGATTTCAGGACTGTTTTAGCCGTTTGCGTGGAATGCCAAACTGTGGACACTGTGCAGATGCTAGTGCTCGGAAGGCTTCTGCTACTAAATGAGGGTGAAACTGAATCATGGACTTCCACCCTGATGTTTCCATTATGTCTGTTGCTTGGCTGAAAAATAAAATTAAGAGATGTTTGTTAAAGAATACTTTTCAAAATGCATTGTTGTATTGTCAATTTTTTAAATTTATGAATTTCATAATGTTTTGAACACTCTGCCTCTATATGTATTCAAACCACTTGAATTCATTAAAATATCATTCACAAAATACCTTAGTAGTATTTCTGTAACAAATGAAACTATTAGAATTTTCTGGAAATTCTATTCTCCTGAAGCATGTGACACTTGTCCCCATAGTTTAACTTTCAAGAGCTCTTTTCCCTGGCTTACACTCAGGTTTTTTCTCAAGTGGCAACTTTTGCCCTCTACTCTTTTAACATTCATTATTCATCCTATCTCATCCATTCTTCATAATTTTAGCTATCATATTCAATGATGACAACTACTGATTTGCTAAATCCTAAGCCTCCTAACAAGGTTCATTCCCAACCACTTGTTCTCTTTACTTGGATGCGTTTCAAGTTCCATAAATTCAGCATTGTTAGATAAGAAGAACTCAACATATCTCCCCAAACCTCAAATTCTTCCTCCCTTATTTCCAGTCAGCTAATGCTTCCACCATCATCCAGTGATTCAAGTCAGAAACCTGGGTATCATCCTAGACCAGTGATGGCAAACCTTTTGAGCTCAGCGTGTCAGCATTTTGAAAAACCCCAACTTAACTCTGGTGCCGTGTCACATATAGAATTTTGATATTTGCAACCATAGTAAAACAAAGATTTATATTTTTGATATTTATTTTATATATTTAAATGCCATTTAACAAAGAAAAATCAACCAAAAAAATGAGTTCACGTGTCACCTGACACGCATGTCATAGGTTCGCCATCACTGTCCTAGACCCTTTTCTTTTCAATCAAAAATAAAAGCTCTGATGATTAATAAAAACACAAACCTGATAGGGGCCTGGCCCAGGCTGCAATCTTTTACTGGATTAATCTTTGAGTAATGTCTTAAAAAGCCCTTAAAGTTAATTTATATGGCTTCCCAGGATCTTATCCCTACCTGCTTTCTCTAGGTCAGCTTCTTCTCATAACCTCTCTCTCACTCTATACTGTTGTTTCTTTTCACCCAATCTTTGCATACCTGATTCCCTTTTTCTGAGATACACTTTTCTACCTCTTCCCTCTTCTTTATCAAGGTAACTCCTACTAATGCTTTAGGTCTTTATTTATATAATTCCTTGAAAAGGCTTTCTCTGACCCCTAGATTAGGTTAGGTTCCTTTGCTATATGCTCAGATGGGTACGCTATACTTTACCTATCATCACACTTTACTTCAAATACTTGTTTAATTACTATTTATCTCCTGCTAAACCACAGACTCTGGGAAGCCAGGGAAAACATTTATCATGTTCATTATTATATTCGTGATATTGAGCACAGTGCCTTGGGCCATATTTACTGAATAAATATAAATACCTGTAAAATGAATGATCAATTACTGCCTTTAGGTTTCTGTACTTTAAGTTATCCTTTCTGTCTGCAATGCCTGTTATTTCTTTTTTAGTTCCTCTAATTCCTCTTCATATTTTAAGACACATCTGTCATCTCCAGTAAGCCATCCCTAAATCTCCAGCACATACCTTCTTTTATCACACTGCTTACCATATTATAAAAAATAACATATTCATGTATTTGTTTCTTTCATTAAATTTCCATCTACATATGAATGATATATTCATATATTTGTTTCTTTAATTAGATACATTTCTATCTATATATAAATGACATATTCATATATTTGTTTCTTTTATTAAACAAATTTCTCAAGAATAGGGACTTTTCCTCATAACTGTTTTTAAAGGCAGCACATTAGCATGGTGCTTGAGTCACAATAGATATGAGGTACACGTTTGTTAAACTAAACAGTAGCTAATAATAAAACTACCTTATTTGCCTGACATCAGAGTAACCAATGTGTTTATAATTTCAACAATAGTTGTTCAGAATCACACAGATATCTCTTAATATACCTGACATTTTCACTTATTTAACAAATATCTACTGAAGGTCTGTACATACAACAGCTTCTTCAGGGGATATTAAAATACTCTTGATATTTTTTGACATTGAAAAAGTTAAAAATGTAAAATATTTTCTTAACAGAATAAAACTAGAGCTTGTAAGTGGCTAAGTACAAAGGATCATAAATTGTCATTTGCTGCATACACATTATGTTTTAAATTTAAACTGATTTTTGTCTAGATCACATACCATAACATATTATCACACTGATCAATATTCAGAAAAACCAATAAACTAAAAAGAGAACTCACAAACTGACAGGAATTCAGTTAACTTCACACATAGCAAAACAAGTTAAAACAATAGGAAATAATTAAGTAAAAAAACATTAATTTTATTGTCTCTAACACTGACTTCTCTTTCTTTTATCCACTTGTCTTTTTTGACATACTTATATCAACTTTTGAAAACTTGCAAAAATGGAATTTAAGGGTTTACAAGCAAAAACGAATCAAAAGATGCAACTTTCAACCTATCAACTCTTTATCCTTTTTTATTTTGAATAATTATAAAGAATAGAAAATTCTCCCTAAAAATGAGAGAAGAAAACAAAGGAATAATAAGTTCTAATATTCAGAAAGTCTGGACTTAGAAAAGATATAAGAACTATGCTACCTCTTACAGTTTTACCAGGAAAAGTAAAGATCAAATTACTCCCATTTTTAGAATACTAGGCAGCTGGCTTAATAAAGCATTCAATGTAAAGTACTTGGCTAACCTAAGAAGCAATGGGTTAGCATTCAAATGTGAAGACGTTTAGGGCAAATATGAAGGGTACATTCCTCAGAGAATAAAATGAACATTTTCCATATTCTCAGAAATGCTTTCTGAAGGGACAGGAAAAGGATCTCCAGTTGCCACTGAAATAGCTGGAGTCAGGTACATACTAAGTGAGCATATGAGCTTCAGAAATTAGGGCATTCATCTCAGTTCACATTAGCAGCTGATCTACAAGGGGGCATAGCCTCAAGAATCCACTAAGTTAGTCAAATTTATTTTTTTTAAATAACCAGCAGTTTACTCCATATAAATAATATCTCGATTCCTACTTATTGTAGATGAACAAAAGGCCTATGCAAACACTTAATTCTATGTAGGCAGATCAACTTTGAGTCAGAAACTGATGTCATCTTACTTGCTGTTCCAGTTTTTCCCATCTTTACACCCAAGCTGTCGAAGTACACTGCACCTGCATTGAAGATTTAAACACACTTAAAAAAGTTCAGTGACAAACGCTGAAGGTGTCATGCCGCTGAAATATAAGCATAGCTTACCTATTAATAAAGTCTATGGCTTGTGCTTTCAACTGTTCTGCACTGTGCAAATCTGCAAGGACAAGGGTATCAGCAACATTTTCCACTGAGAGGTTACTACACAAAGCTTCTTCACACAGGACCTTCAGTCGTTCCAGTGCATACTATTCAAAAGGAAAACATAACCATTAAACATTCACTGAAAATACCAAGTTTTTAAATACATGAGAGTTGGACTTAGGAAATAAAGTTAAAGCACGTTATACTTTGAACTAAGGGTATTTTAAGTCTCTAAATTATTTTTAACCTAATATGAAGAAAATATTAATGAATATATTCAAGAGAAAGACCAATTTTCTTTAGGAAATTTCAATTTCCATAGTGTAAAATACTATATTTTAAAAATAGGGTTTTATTCTTAAAAAACACATACCTTATTACTTAATACTTTTAATGAGTACAGTTCTCTTCTCTATTATGAACACTAGAGGCCTGGTGCATGAAATTCGTGCATGGAGGGGGGGGGGGTCCCCTCAGCCCAGCCTGCACCCTCTTCAATCCAGGACCCCTCAGGGGATGTCTGACTGCCGGTTTAGGCCCGATCCCGGGGACTGGGCCTAAACTGGCAGTCGGACATCCCTCTCACAATCCGGGACCACTGGCTCCTAATGGCTCACCTGCCTGCCAGCCTGATCACCCCTAACCGCCTCTGCCAGCCTGATCGCCCCTAACTGCCACCCCCCCCGCCTGGTCAACCCTACTCCCCCCCGCCAGCCTGGTTGCCCCTACTGTCCCCCCTACCGGCCTGGTCACCCCTTACTGCCCCCCCTGCTGGCCTGGTCGCCCCCAACTGCCCCCCTGCTGGCCTGGTCACCCCCAACTGCTCCCCTCTGCCGGCCTGGTCGCCCCCAACTGCACCCCTGCTGGCCTGGTTGCCCCCAACTGCCACCCCTGCCCGCCTGGTCACCCACACAGCCTGTTCGGTCGTCCGTCTGGTTGTTTTGGTTGTGACAGCCCCTGGCTTTTTATATATTAGGATGAATGTACCAACCAGTACAATCACTGCATGTTGTCACAATCCAATGCATGTACTTCTTGAAGAATGAATTACAAAGCTAAAGAAATCATATTCATAACCACTAAAAATCTTTAGTGTATATAACATCTTTAGTAGCTTTATTGAGGACTAATTAACATACAATAAACTGTACTTATTAAAGTTTATACTTTGATAAGTTTATAGATATATAATCACCATTAAATCAAGATAGTGAACATATTCATCATCCCCAAGTTTCCTCCTACACCTTTGTAATCCTTCTCTTTCACCAAATCCCAAGCCAACGGCTCATATGCTTTCTACTGCTAAAATTTTATTCACAAAGTATAATTATTTTGAGATTCACGCCTGTTGTTGCCTGTGCATCAAAAGGTCAATGCTTTTTATTGCTGAGTAATATTCCATTGTATATAAACACACCACAATTTGTTTATCCATTCATCTGTTAATGAACATTTGGGTGCTTCCAGTTTTTAGCTATTACAAAGAAAGCTTCTATAAACCTTCATATATTAAGTCATTATATGGGCATGTGCTTTCTTTTCTTTTCTCTTGGATAAAAACCTGAAAGTGGGTTCATTGGGTCATATGGCAAGTGTAAAATGTTTTAGGGAACAGCCAGTCTTTCAAAATAGTTGTACCACTTTATATTCCCATCAGCAGTGTATGACAGTCCTAATTCTTCCACAGCTTTTGGTCTTGTAATTTCTAGTTATTATGGTATGTGTGTAAAAGAATCTTGTGGTAATTTTAATTTACATTTCTCTAATGGCTAATGATGTTGAGCATCTTCTGACATTGATTGACATTATTTTGGAAAAAGGCTGTTCAAATATTTTCTATTTTTAGAAATAACACTGCTTTTTTAAATTGAGTTTTGAGAGTTCTTTATATAATCTGAAATAAGAGTCCCTTATCAGATATCTTCTGAATAAAAGGCATTCATCAAATATATACTGGGCAAATATTTTCTTTCAATCTGTTGCTAGTCTTTTTATTTTCCTGTTTCTTTTGATGAAAAAAAGTTTTCAATTGTATTGAAGTCCAATTATCAAATTTTTAATTTTATGTAGTATTAGGGGCCCAGTGCATGAATTCGTGAACCTTGAAAGAAACTGTGGGCCGCGAGGCTGTGGTGGGCACAGGGGTGGGTTTCGGTACATCCTCCCCGCCCCTGCCCGGCCCCTCCCGCCATGGCCCCCAGTCCTCTGCTGGAAGCCCCGCTCCCACTGCCATCGCTCCCTCGTGTTGATGGCGCCGGCCCCGCTTGCACCCACTGACGGCGCAGAGCTATTGGGGCCGGCTCCAGCAGCGGGTGCGAGTGGGGCCGGTGACAGCAGTGGGTGCAAGAAGTGGCTGCTGGCACCGATCACCCCTCAGGAGCAGGGGGAGATGGAGAAGCCCTGAGGGGCGATTGGGGCCTGCAGCTGCCACTCACACCCACTGACAGCGTCAAGTGATTGGGCCTGGCACCAGATGCCAGCAGCAGGTGCGAGCGGCAGCTCCGGCGCCAGCAGCGGGTGTGAGCAGCAGCACTGGTGCAGGACTGTGTCGCACAGGAGCCCCACCTTGGTCTGGTGCCCTCATTCACCTGCCCCACCATCCCACCGTGGCCAACGCCTGCCACGTTCCGCGCCCTGCCACCTGCTGCCAACTCCCACCATGTTCCACGCGCACCTTCCTGTTGGTCAACACACGTCATAGTGGCCAGTTGTTCGGTTGTTCTGCTGTTCGGTCTATTTGCATATTAGGGTTTTATATATATCGATGTTTTTGTTGTCATAGTTAAGAAGTCTTTGCCTAACACAAGATCACAAAGACTTTTTCCTATGCTTTCTTTAAGAAGTTTTAGATTTTTAGGTTTATAATCCCATTTTGCATATATTTTTATATATGATGAAGTTCATCTACAAAGGTCACTTTTTCAAATGAGTTCAATCAAAGTTCACTTTGGGGGGCATTTGAGTATCTGACTTTTCCAGCACCATTTGTTGAAAAGACTGTCTTTTCTCCACTGTGTTATTCTTGCACTTTTATTAAAGATTAAGATATTCATATATGTGACAGTCTATTACTGTACTCTCTCTTCTGTTCCAGTGAATTATTTGTCCATGTTGTCACCAATAAAACACTGTCTTAAATACTGAGGCATTATAATAAGTCTTGCTGTCAGACAGTGATAGTCTTTCAATTTGATCTTCTTTTTCAGTTCTTGATTATAGGTCCTTGTCAATTTATTGGGGAAAAAAAGCCCATTAGGACATGTTAATTCTCCTAATTAATTTTAAGGAGAATTGAAATTTTAATAATATTCAGACTTCCAGTCCATAAACAAAATTTATCTCTCTATTTATTTCAGCCTGCCTGCATTTCATTTAACAATTTATTGTAATTTTCTGTATACATATCTTGAACATTTTTTGTCTATGTATTTATTTATGCCTATGTATTTAATATAGTTGATGCTAATGTAAATAGCATTTTTAATTTAAATTTTTATTGAGATAGTTATAGATTCGTGTGCAGTTGTACGACATAATAGATTCTATATACATTTGGCTCAGTTCCCCTCAATGTTAACATTCCGCAAAACAAGTGTAATAGCACTTTACATATATATATATATATATATATATATATATATATATATATATATATATATGAATGTATATATATATACACACACACACATATACATTCACATATGCATATACATGGATGAAAATCACATGACAATACTTTTGGAGAAAGCTCCCAATATGCTCTCAGGATTGAAAACTACTGGCTTTAAGATTTTTTGGTATTTTTGCACTGTTTCCCTATATTAAAAAAATCACCATCATAAAAGAGCATAAAATTATCATTATTTTCTCTTTCTACACTATTAAATTAAAAAAATCAATCTATAAACAGAGAATTAAATTAGTCAATATAAAAAATTTTCAATTATATATAATATTGTGTGTGTTCTTATAAAACAGTAAAGATACACTCAAAACTATTGAATTTATAATCTCCCATAAAAATTTACTTTCCTATAAAGATATTTTTGTCTTATTGACTAAAAAAATCTCACTGTATGCTATTTTTTTAATACTTTCACAAGCCATCTACAAATAGTATAAATTAATCCAGTATTTCAAGTTATTTGGGGTTTTCATTTGATGACAGCATTCTTGATATATCAAAGGCTTGAGGACATTTTTCAGCTCTTTAAGACCTAATTACTTACTTTGTCTGCAGCTGCCAACAAGTTGTCAGCCATTTTGTCAAGGTTTGGTGCTTTCCCTGTGTAAATGAATCTCATCATTTCTTTAAAAACCTCGGGGTCTACATCGTTTATTTCCACTCGATTCTGATATTGAAAACAACACAAAAGAGTTATACTTAAAGAACACAGACACACAAACAAACCAAGGAGAAACTTTGACAGTAATTTAAAAGCCCCAAATCTGTACAACTCAAATATAGATTAAACTCTATTTTAAAATTTATCTTCGGTAAGCTACGCAGGCAAAGTGAAACAGGCAGGTCTAAAAGGAAAGTATATGCACCAAAAACTACCATGTAGAAATATAAATCAAATTTCTTAATTTAAAAGAGTAAAACAAAAATCTATAGGCCAAACGAAATACATCTGCATGCAGTTTCTGACCTCTATCTTAGAGAAAGATGTCTATTAAGTTTTTCTTTGCAGAATTCCTAAGCTGTACTACAATGCCTAAGATCCTGTAACCACCTTTAAGTAAAAGAATGGCCAGGTATATGAGATAATTCCAGAGCACCCATTCCATCTCAGAACTCTCCCTTTTGCAAAATGGCATGTACTATTATCTATGGCACCTCACCTCTTTGCTTAACACATGCTCAAGTCCAAAGAGGACTAGTTCCTTTTTTATTCCTATATCTTTGTAAATTTGGTTTCTCTCCTGGGATTAATCAAGCTAAATATCAAACAATAAACAACAGTAAACTTTTCTGACCCTTTGCTGACAATAGCACTTGACACATCATTGATGTCTGCTTACTTGGAAGTGATCAGAAAGTTGATTATAGTACCTGCCCAGACCAACAATCAAAGGAAAGGAAGCAGCTATTTTGTTGCAGCCTCTAGTTCTGCAGAAAGAATAAAGCTGAACCCACATAAACCCTGGAGTCGTCCAATTGGAGCACTAAGAATCAATCACATGTAATGATGCAACCAGCAAAGAATCAACCTCTGAGCTTTAATCTGACATTTCAAGACGACAGGTGACAGAGAAACACCTGGGAAAACCAAATAGGTAATATCTTGACTATAGATAATTTATAATAATGTAATTTATGCCATTTTTTGTTAAATCTAATAAATAGCAACTTATTTTAGTGGTTAAAATGTAGGCATTATTTTTGCTCTAGAAAACAAATTCCAAAATCTACTCATAAAATTTAGAAAGGAGAAATATACTTCTTTTTTAAATAATATGTTTTTATTGCTTTTTAGAGAGAAAGAGGGAGAGAGATACAGAAATAGAAACATTGATGAGAGAGAGAGAGAGAGAGAGAGAGAGAGAGAGAGATATTGATTGGCTGCCTCCTGCCCACCCGCTACTGGGGGTCTAGCCCACAATCTAGGCATGTGCCCTGACCAGGAATAGAACCAGGAACCTCTTGGTTCATGGGCTGATACTTAACCAGTGACCCACCCCGGCTGGGCGAGAAATATACTTCTTAATCAGAGAACTCCCAAATAGCTATGGCCAAGAACAGTCCTTTGATAACTACCCTTCTGTATAAGAATTACCTACTTATTTTTCTACCAAATGGGCACCCAAATAGCTGTTATTTGGAATATTCACCCACTTTAGGTTACATCGACTGTTCTACTAGAGAACCCATTTTTCCCATCTTTCTATTCTTTTCTAAAATCATAGTATAACAATTGAGAACATGCACTGTTACTTTAAAAATATACAGTCCACTATTCTACTTTTGCACAAATTTATTGTTAACCCTTAAACTATGGTTACCTTTTTGCTTTCTTCCATTTCATGTTCAAACATTGCATTAAAAACTGGGGATCGAGCTGTAACAAGATTAAGCATCATTATTTAATGCACACATTTATAAGAGAAATGTACTATATTACCCAAAAGTAGAAAGTACCTGCAAGTACAGATTTATGAGCTCTAAATTCGTGTCCTCTCACAAAAAAACTGCAATCTGTAAATCTTGTGTTTTCCCAGAGATTACCTAAATCTTCTGCTAGTCGACATTCAGGAACCTTCAAAGTATTTGTATTAGTATGCCCTGATATATTTACTGAATCTTGGACCACACTCACCTAATAAAAAAGGGACAGTAAGAAAAACACTTTTACAATTTAATATCAATAATTAGTTACTAAGACTATACTTAAATATCTTATCATTAAAATTATTTGAATAATTAAATGCACTCCTGATAAAGATGCTAATACCTGATCATTGAATTTAAGGATACAATTTAAAGGTTATAAAACTACAGTCTATGATTTGCAATTTGGGAAGTATTTTAAGTGCTATTCCTACATGTTTCAACTCTGGTAAAACTGACTTAAATATATAGTTAAATTGATTTAAATTTTAAAGTATAAGAATTCTCACAAAAGCAACTGTAGTTATTAAAAGTTCATGGGATCTTTTATTTTTTAAAAATCAACAGTAAAAATACAAATATGATTTAGTTTTTCAGACCTTTTATTTACTTAATTCACTAATCAATAAAAACTGATATAATCTCAACATTGCTTTTATACAAACTCAAATATAAAATATGGATTAAATTATTACTCAATGGAGATGACCACTGTCTACTGAATATAATCTTAAAACACTATTAAGTCTTGTACACCACTTTAAAAGAATTCTACTATAAGAAATTTCAAATTATGTTTAATAAATTGAAGAAAATACTACCTCAACAAGTAAAGCATATGTTTTAGAGTAAACAAATCATTTTTTACAAAACTGCTATGTTAGTTAGCCATTGTTTTTAAGCTTTTAAGTTTTGTGGTCATTTTTTTTTTTAAATCCTCATCTGAGGATATTTTTTCCATTGATTTCTAGAGAGAGTAGAAGGGAAGAGAGAGAGATAAAAGTGAGGGAAGACAAAGAGAGAGAGAAACATCAATGTAAGAGAGACACATTGATTGGCTGCCTCCCGCACATGTCCCTACTGGGGCTGGGGACCCTGCAACTGAGGTATGTACCCTTGACCAGGAATTGAACCTATGACCCTTCCGTCTACGCCAACGCTCTATATATTGAGCAACCGGCCAGAGCTGTGATCATTTCTTATGCAGCAATAGATATCTATGTTCATTTGAAAACATTTCATGTGGCTTTTATTAAATAAGAATAGGTATAAGTAAGGACACATATAAATACAGTTAACTATGTAGAAAATGTAAATTACAAATAGGTAAATTGGACCAAATTACTAACATGCTAACACGAAAAGTATAATAATAATCCAGTATAAAATATCTGGAGAATATTAAATCTTGGAAGTTCTCATTCATCTAGATGTATAAACATGTATCTCACTTATGTGAATGGGCACTTCTAAAGAAAAAATTTATTGAGGTATTTTTAATTAATCATTTTGTTTTTCCAACTTGCATTATTAACCTTTTGGAATCATATGTCATAGAAATCATCTAATCAATCACCTTATTTGGTAAAAGTTTTCAAAGTGAGAGCAAGAGAAGATAACCAAAATGTCCTAAATCACACTGCTGGTCACTATCACAGGGAGACTAGACCTACATTCCCAGATTCCATTTTTTCAGCACTCTTTGCACTGCACAATATTTCTTTAGATATATGTTTTTTAAATTAGTAGTACTACTTTAGTGCAATTATGATTCAGAAAGGATTTATCACAACACTCTTTTGAGATGCTTTCCTAAATACAAGTGCCAAAATAGTGTGTATATAAAGATTCTCCTATTAAGTTTTTAATTATCCAAATAGTTTCTAAAATTTTAATAACTACAAAATAGAAAAAAGCATCATCAATCTATACTTGATTGCCCTGTTACACCATTATAACTTAATGATACATAAACCAAATATGTTGGTGTTAATACTCAGGATTTAGTTAGGGATCAGTTTTTTATCACATAGTATTTATTTGTTCATAGAAAGCATTTCTCTTGAGATTTCTAGACAGCAGGAACTCTCAGTTCAATTACTTGCATAATGTATGCAGTGGAGTTATAAAAATGTAATGATATATTTAATTTAGGAATAGATTTCTTAAATTCTATACATTGCCTATTATCCTAACTCAAAATAACACATTTAATGTAAAGATTTGGCAAAAATCTGGCAACTGAAGAAATAAATCATCAAAAAATAAAGCCATTATTATCAGGCTAGAACGTGATGTTACATTTGTATTTTGTATATGTAATTATAATTCAAAAGAATTTATATTATTGACATACATATCTATTGTCATAGCAACCACAAATTTTAATTAAGACATTTCATTCTCCAAAGGGTATTCAAAGGACTATTTATTAGCAGAAGTTAATAATCTAATTAAAAATTGATATGCATTAAATTCTGATAATTATTTTCTTGATACCTATATTAAGAAGTTAGTTAAAATTTTAGTTTGTCCCTGGTACATATTCAAATATGGGTAATAAAACATTCTTATTGAATGGAACCTAGAGTAAAAAATTCAGAAAAAAGGCTGAGATTCTTTCCTGAGGTTAAATTGTTGTTCTTTCAAAATAAAAGGGCAAATGCACAATACTCAAAATTGACTAAATACTGCAAAGCAAAACCTCAAACTCATTTGACAGCTCTTTCCCAAATTTGTTTTTGGCTCAACTCTGAGACTACTATTCAGAATAAAAAGAAACACGTGCAGGCTCTTCTCAACTGTAAGTACTCTGAAAATCTGGGTCTCCTCAAGTGTGGAATTAGGTGACGTCTGGTTCCAATTTTTAAAAAAATCTCAATTCTCTAAATTAATTCTGAGAGCTAGGAATTTACAAAGGTGTATAGGACTACAAATTTTTCTGCTCTAGTTAACTACCTAACCATCCCTCACACTGGTTCCAAAGTAAGAAAGTTTTAACAGTGTGATTTCACATCTTATAGAATAGTGGGTCTTAGATTTTTTTATTTTCCTAATAGGTGGTATCCTGTTTTGAAATCTGGGTGAGAGAAACAATGTTGTCAACTTTTCATTTTGCTATGAAAGAGCTTTTTAGAGAATAAAAGCCAATGTTACAAGTATTTTAAAACTGAAAGAATATCTTGGCAACAGAAAAAATAGGATGGGAAAAGGGTATCTTTCTAAATGAAATGTTAATTTTATGAAAAACTCATATATATATGTGTGTGTGTGTGTGTGTGTGTGTGTATGTGTATATATATATATATATATATATATATATATATATATATATGACCCCCCCTCCCCCCGAATATATATATTAGAATGGCATGGGTCTGTAGACTACAAGGTTATTTAAAATCTTTTGGATTTAAAAAGATGAATTAACCTAAACAATTTTCTATTTTTCCTATTTTTCTACTTATTCCTCAATTCCTGCCCTTTGTATCACTTTGGGAGAGAAGGCATAGAGCTGTTTACACAGTTAGGAATTTCTACCCCTGGCTACTTGATTTACAGTATGGAACTTGCAAGATTAAATTATGTCTTGCACAAAAAGGGTAGCACCAAACTGCCTTACCTGTCTACAGCACCACTTGCAGGGGAGGGGGAGGAGGCAGTTCTTTACGTGGGCAGTGCAATGCTTCCTCCTCTTCTGCAAGCAGTGCTGGAGATGCTGTAGAAGGAAGGGCAGCAATGAGAGGTGTGAAGAAATGGTGGAGGGCATGAGGAATGTTTGTTCAAAGTACTTTTTGCCTTCCTATGCCTAATATGGTGCCCAGGGTATAAATGTCTACATTGATAAAATGGTACTTAATTACAGTATCCAAACTGAATCTGATCAAAGCCAACTTAAAATGTAAGTCCCTGTGGGCTCTATTTTAAGGTCACTAGCGTGCACAATCTAGCAGATAAAAAGTATACCTCAAAAAAGTGTATTTTCAATTTCAGCCTTTATTCTGAATTTCTTGATTGTCTAGGTTCCAATAAAACATGCTTAAGAACATATCTGTAAATATTTCAATTCTAAAAAAAGAAATATTACCTTAAAAAGTTAAAATTAAAAGTTAATAGTAAAAGTCTTTACAAATAGACTTTTAGCTACAGTAGTTTTTAATTGGATTACATAGCTTTTAAGATTTTTTAAAACACTAAAATTTTTTAAAAAATTAACATGCTAAAATTTAAGATAACTACTAAAATTCTTGGAAATGTTATATTAAGAATACTAAAATTTTAAAACAATATGACATATTTATTTAGAATACTTCTTAGAATCTCTATTGATAACAAATGTTTAGTTATTTAAAAAAAATTATTTAATAATGATTTATGCTCAAGATATTTGTGTTATGTACTTTATCAACCAAATAATTGTATTTATAACAAACTCATCATACAGTTCATTTAACTTGTCTAAGTAAAAATAAGATGTACTATATTTGCACTATATCGTCTCTGGGGCCATGTTTCAATTATTCTTCTAACAGCACAATGGCATACAATTAGTTTGTAATCTTGCCAAGAAATTTTCCACATTTTCTACAAAGAAATCAAAGCTAACTTAGTAGTAATTAAGGAAGTTACTAAGTTTCCAAAACACTTCTCTGTCTACAATAACCTATTGAAATATATTTAACACTGAGTTTACCTGATTATATCCTATTAACTGGCACTCCTTTGAAAATTATCAACAACTTTAAAATTTTTCGATAAAACTATGTAACCAATGCATAGTCTTTATAGTAAACTATACTGGTAACATAATATAATTCTTGAATTCACTCCAAAGCTGAATCTCAACAATTTGTATACATAAAACTACATGATAACATGCAGACATGGGCATACTTAAAAATTTGAGAAACTATTGCTAAAAACATTATTTTATTAAATGAACCCAACTACTTGAATGAATAAAAAGCTTCCCAATCTTTTTCAGGCAGTGCACTGTTCAAATATGGTTTCAAACTGGTAAACTACTAATAATGTCTTATGTTTAATATGTCCAATTTGAATATGACAAAAAATATTCAGTATCTACGTCGGAATTATCCAGAATGATGAAGATATTTACATTTTTCAAATAAAGATATACACATCCATAGTCTTCATAAAAGGAATGTTCAGTATGTGTTAGTGTAACTGCATATATAACTTACAAGTAGAGATATGACCAGATTTTTTCATAGTGGGCTACTATACTGATTTCTAAGACAATCTAGTCAACTTTTATTAGTAAAATATTTTCAAATGAAACCTTATCAATTATCCCAGTTATTATTTTTTATAATATACTCAATATTGTTGTTGTTTATAATTTTGCTCCATTGCTAAATATAACCACGAAGTTCCATGAAATAAAAAAATGTACCCACCTCACAAAATAATGTAAGCTTGTCATCTGGTAAAAGACCATTAGCTTCATCAAGCAAAAAATCCCTTCGAATGAATTTTTTAAAACCCCAGTCCTTCCCTTGTACAAATCGATATGCTCTTTGGCTTTCTGGTGGGAAACAGAATAGAAGTTTAAATAAAACAAGTATCCAAGAAACATTTTTGTAAATGATAACACAGTTAAGTGAATATGAAAAAATAGTAAGAAGTACAGATATTTGTGTTCATAAATAAAATGTGTCATCAGAGTTATATCAGGTAGAGCCAGATCATTCCCCAGCACTACTCAAATTTTGGCCATCAAATGAGCTCACTTTCAGATTCCTGAATCTCTAGGTAGAAGAAAATGCAGATCAAATCTCATGGAGAAGAAAGATCTAGGCCCTATAATAATAAAGTTAAGATCAAAATACACTGGCATGGGCATATTGTTCATCATCTACCATCAGCACCTGATTACAAACACAACTCTCATTTCCTTCTTCTCTCTTTAAAAGCAGATGCTCTAAGTCATCAGGAAATCCTTTAAGCTTAAGCTTTCCTGGGACATCCATCCCACTGACAAGTTTTACTGAACCAGAAGACACCCATTAACTGGTGAAAAACCTAGATAATGTCACTTATCATTCCCAGGTCTTTAGACATAATCCCCTAAAAACAATTTTCGTAAAAGTCTGAAAGACAGTTTTTAGTATAATTTAATTTAATAGATAAATGTCTGAAGTAAACTGTATACTATGAAATAAACAACATCCTCTACAATTAAGTATTCACTGTCTGTTACACAAAAAATTAATTGGAGATGGAACCAGTAGTAAATCTAATTGCAACACACTATGTTATGGACTGAATGTGTGTATCCCATCAAAATTCTTATGTGGAAACCATACTGTTACAGGATTCCAGGGCAGGAAGAACAGGGAAAGAGAAAAAAAGTTAAAACAAGGCCAATTTTGCAGCCAGCTTGTAACTAATAAGCCATTATCTTCCCCAGCCAAGGACAGGAGAGCAAATGGTTTAAAAAAAAAAAAATCCTCCCTAAGGAGAGAATACAGAAGGGGGCGGCGGGGGCGAGGGCAGGGAAGGAAGGGAAAGGAAAAAAGGGCAGTTTTACTCCCTAAGTGGAGAAGCCAGCAGTCTCAAGGCTTGGCAAGATAAAGTTGCCAGGTGCTACTCATGATTTCTGGGAAGGCCACAATAAAGAAAAAATGGGACTTTGAGAATTAACCAGGACCAAAATATTCAGCAAAGAAATTTTGAAACCTATAAACAAGAAGGCATATAAAGCCTCAGACTCCCTCCCAACTCACTCTTCATAATAGTTGAGAACCCATCTGTGCTTCATAACCAGATGTACAGTTTGCTTGCTTTGCTTCTTTAATAAAGGTGCATGCTTTAATAAATGGGCTTTCCACAATATAGTTAAGGTCTCTCGTATAAAATCATTTATATGAGAAGATAAGGATTGAGGTTGGGAACAGCCTTCTCCCACTGACTCAGGGCACTGTCCTGGAACACCTCTCTGGAGTTGGTGAGAGGTGCCTGTAACAATACCTTCCAATGTGATGGTATAAGACAGTGATGGTGAACCTATGACACGCGTGTCAGAGGTGACATGCGAACTCATTTTTTTGGTTGATTTTTCTTAAATGGCATTTAAATATATAAAATAAATATCAAAAATATAACTTTGTTTTACTATGGTTGCAAATATCAAAAAATTTCTATATGTGACACAGCACCAGAGTTAAGTTAGGGTTTTTCAAAATGCTGACACGCCGAGCTCAAAAGGTTCGCCATCACTGGTATAAGAGGAAAGTGATTGGGACTAGATAAGTTCATGAGGGTGGAGTCCTCATGAATGGGAATGTTGCTCTTATAAAAGACCTCACTAAGCTCCCTAACCACTTCCACCATGTGAAAACATGAGTAGTTAGTCCACAACCCCAAAAAAGGATCTTCATCAGAATCTGACCATGGTAGCACCCTGATATTGGACTTCCCAGCTTCTAGGGTCAGTGAGAAATAAATTTGTTGTTTCTAAGCCATCCAGTCTGTGGTATTTTGTCATGGCAGCCTGGACTAAGACACTCCACTGTCTTAAATGCCAGATAATGTGAAACTGTATTACTTTGGCAATAAAAGATAATATTAAATAGTATGTATTTAGAGGAGGTTATTTTGTGATGTTAACTTGATTCTGTGAAAACACTTAAAATTTAATGCAGCAGTTATGATATATTGTCCTACTATGCACATTATACATCTTCTTTTGAAACTCCAGGTTACATGATTTCAGCAGATTACATATGGGAACAAGTCTTAATACTAAGAAAAACTGACTTCCTTTCAGTCAATGTTCTGGTCTATTATTTAAATAAAATTTTAGGGACAAAATAAAACATTAAAAATCTTTCCAATATTCTTCAGATTTTATCTAACAAAAATAGCAAGGGAGAAGAGAAATATTTCCTGAGCACCTATTACATATGCCAGGCATGGGACCAGCAACTGTGTTTTCAAGTGACAAGTGAATGTCATTTTAGAACATGAGAAAATTAAGTTTTAGTATTATTTTAAATAATTTTACATGTCTATGAAGTCTAAAACTTACTACGAAAACTATAGCTCTACACAGGTGTTTAAAATTAATTAATAGCCAAATTAAATGTTTTAGGTTAAGCAGACTTTAGTGGGAAAATATATCCTAAGCTTTGTAGGCAAACATGCAGAAGTCACAGCAAGTAGTTACAGAGTCTTCAGTTAGTTTGCAAATCACTTACCCATTGCTTTTGTTTCTTCTCTTTTAGCGTTCAGAAGGGAAAATTTGAATTTTGCTCGAACTTCACTTTTTGGGCAGCTGACTAAAAGCAAATATAAGGACAAGTAGTCTTTACTTTCATCATCTAATCCTTTTGGATTTACCCTCAGGCACCTAAAATAAAACAACAGGCTCACATGGAGGAATATGATACTTGAAACATTCAGAAAAGAGAGGCAATACCAAAATCATTTGTTAATATCCCCTCAATCCCTCCCTAGTTCTTTACAATTCTCTACAATATCTTAGAAATCTAAGGTAAAATAGACTATTATCGGTTCAGGTACAGTAACAACAAAACAATAAAGTAGCCAATGATAACATCTAAACTCTAAGCAAACAAAAATCTTACCATTTCATTTTGTCACTTGGGCTAGATGAGAACGTTGAACTTTTTAACACTTCACCCATTTCTTCTCGACAAAAACTGAAGTTATTAATGGTCCACATGTAGGAAAATTTTACAACTTTAACCTAAGAGATTCAAAAAAACACTTTCATAATGAACTTTATGCTTTTAACCTGTCACATGTTAAACATCCTATGACCCAGTCTTTTAACATTTCTAATAACTATACCAAAGTACTTCATAATACTCTCAAAATACTGTAAAACTTGTAAGTAAAATAAAGTGAGGCATTTCTACGACATGTACCTGTGTATAACACCAGCTTTCTGCTATAGGAGCAGTAGACATATCTCCAGGGAGAGGTGGGGTGGGTTCCCGAGACATTGCCGATTTATTGCAGTCTTCCAAGATTTATGCACTATCCCATACAGTTGAGTACTTTACTAAAAGGAAAAAAGTTTCATTTACTGATCAAAAAGCTTAACTGACTAAATTCAGGGAAGAAATATTTAAACAATCATAAAACAATTATATGGGAACATGTGTTTCATTATTTTTATAATTTTAAAGAAATCAGCCTTTGTAATATAACACTAGAAACATAAACAAACCTAATACTTGTAGATAAGACATTATTTTATAAAGGTAGATTTACCAAAATACTATGAATAAAAAATTACATAGCTTAACAGTACGATCATAAACACAAAATAATATAGAAACAATATTTGATTCACCTTCCTTCATCTTTTTATTGACTATTTGCAAAAATCCAAGGAGTTCTAAAGTCAGAAGAGCTTTGGAAATTACAAATATTGGTCACTCATATGGTAGATCCCAAAATTTTGACCAATGAAACACAGATGGGACCTAACTGTAATGCTGTGCAGTACGAAATACACAGATTTCCACAAAAGTCTAATTTTATCTCACAATAAAACTCCATCCCTATCAGTTTGTTCCCTATTAAAGACTATGTGTCATGCGAAAAACCAAGATGACGGTATAGGTAAACACCGGAAATTGCTTCCTCGCACAACCACTTCAAAAATACAACTAAAAGACAAATCCGACATCATCCAGAACCACAGGAAGGCTGGCTGCGTGGAAATTCTACAACTAGAAGGAAAAGAGAAAAGCACACTGAGACTCAGAGGAGGTGCGGAAGTAAAGTGCAGAGGTACGGAGGCGCACGTGGAAAGGGCTGGCAACTGAGGACATGGTTGTCTTTTTCGATCGGGAGGGAGTCTCAAGCTCCTGACGTCTCTCAACTCCAGCTCCGGGAGAGTCTCTGGGGACCCAGACTCATACGGGGAGAAACTGGACTGTCTGGCATCGGTCGGAACTCAAGGGTGGCTTTCTCTCAGAGGTGCTTGCAGCGATTACCAGGACACTGAGACCCGGGACCTCTTAGGGCAGGACTGAGGATCAGCCATAGCTGTTTGCCCCGCCCTGTTGATTCCCTGAGACCCCACCCCACCCAAGCTGTGTGCAGAGGTTTCTGCATATGAAAGGCCTGGCCCTTTGCAATCTGAAAATTACCTAACAAACTGCAGCTGGGTCAGAGAGACCCAGAACTTCCAAGAGAAGGCCCACAGCAGCTTGCATTGCTTCACAGCTGGGCCTCATCTAGGCACCTCCAAACCCCAAACAAAGAAGAGGAATCTGCAGATCTCTCCATAGCTCCTGCTGGGTAGCCTCAGGCAGAGGCTAAATTAGCACCTCCTTAGAGATCCAAGAGCCAGTGTACCCAGTGGTCAGAGTGGGACCATCCAGATTACAACTCCTCAGATCCATAAGGGACACAATCAGGGGCAGACTCAGTGAGCACCAAAGCCCCACTGAAGCAAGTCTTGCCCCAGAAGGATGTCTCCAGCACAGAAGTTCTGCCACTGTAGACACAGCTGATTCTCACAGCCAATTGGCCTGGAGGTCAATTCCTCCCAGTGATACCTACAACAATCAAGGCTTAACTACAACAAGACTGTGCACAAAGCCCACAAAGGGGTGCACCAAGAGTGTCCACCTCAGGTAATTGGGGAGGCTGAGCCACTGGACCCTATAGGACACCTAGCACAGAAAGCCACTCTATCAACACAGGGAAGCAGCCAAAATGCGGAGACAAAGAAACAGGTCACAAATGACAGAAATGGAGGAAAGCAAACTACAGGATATAAAGTTCAAAACCACATTTATAAGGTTTTTCAAGAATTTTCTAGAAACTGCTGATAAATTTAGTGAGACCCTCAAGAAATCTAGTGAGACCCTCGAGGTTATGAAAAAGGACCAACTAGAAATTAAGCATACACTGACTGAAATAAAGAATATTATACAGAGTTCCAACAGCAGACTAGAGGATCGCAAGAATCAAGTCAAAGATTTGAAATACGAAGAAGCAAAAAACACCCAACCAGAAAAACAAAAAGAAAAAAGAATCCAAAAATATGAAGATAGTGTAAGGAGCCTCTGGGACAACTTCATGCGTACCAACATCCGAATTATGGGAGTGCCAGAAGAAGAGAGAGAGCAAGATACTGAAAACCTATTTGAAGAAATAATGACAGAAAACTTCCCCTACCTGGTCAAAGAAATAGACTTCCAAGTCCAGGAAACGCAGAGAACCCCAAACAAAAGGAATCCAAAGAGGACCACACCAAGACATATCATAATTAAAATGCCAAGAGCAAAAGACAAAGAGAGAATCTTAAAAGCAACAAGAGAAAGACAGTCAGTTACCTACAAGGGAGTACCCATACGACTGTCAGCTGATTTCTCAACAGAAACTATGCAGGCCAGAAGGGAGTGGCAAGAAATATTCAAAGTGATGAATACCAAGAACCTAAAACCAAGATTACTTTACCCAGCAAAGCCATCATTCAGAATTGAAGGTCAGAGAAAGAGCTTCACAGATAAGAAAAAGCTAAAGGAGTTCATCACCACCAAAGCAGTATTATATGAAATGCTGAAAGGTATCCTTTAAGAAGAGGAAGAAGAAGAAAAAGGTAAAGATACAAATTATGAACAACAAATACACATCTATCAACAAGTGAATCTAAAAATCAAGTGAATAAAAAATCTTGATGAACAGCATAAACTGGTGAATATAACAGATTCAGGGGCATAGAAAGGGAATGGACTGACTGTTCTTGGGGGGTGGGGGGGAGGGGTGTGGGGGTGCGGGAAGAGACTGGACAAAAGTCGTATACCTATGGATGAGGACAGTGGGGGGGGTAAGGGCAGAGGGTGGGGTGGGAACCTGGTGGAGGGGAGCTATGGGGGGAAAAAAGAGGAACAACTGTAATAATCTGAACAATAAAGATTTAATTTAAAAAATAATAATAATTTAAAAAATAAAAGTTTAAAAAATATATATATAGACTTAGGTATATAATTTATATGTAGAAATAGTATGTCTTATACAGCACATCATTATTTAAAAAAAACCAAAACCTTATAGTAGTAGTGTCTTGACTGGTGCCTCTGGAACAGAACTAGAAGCAATACTCTAAGGTCACTATTTATTCACTGCTGTCCACTCAATGAAACAAGCAACCTGTTCATTATTATTAAAAGGTAATCAGATCATCTGAGTAAGAGAAAGCAGCTTGCAAAGAGGAATGGAGTCCAAACAGGAAATGGCAAGAAGTCTTCTGAAAACATCATCTATTCTCTAAGGACAAAATTGCTACATCAAATGGGATTGTCACTTTATAATACATCTTGTGGCTTCCATGTGGAAGAAGTAAAAAGAAAACTTCCACAGTTTCCTGGGGGAATCCAGTGACCTTCAGAAGGAATACAATGGCATTGGCTTTTCTTACTATGAACAATCCAAGTACAAGGAATGACTTCTTAGGTGTTAACTTTCTCCTCAGGATCTGATCTGAAAGCAATAAAAGTACTAGGAACTCCCCCCCCAAAAAAAAACAAAAACAAAAAACAACTATGTGTCATATCATAAAATTTCCTCCCAGTTAGCTGTTCTCATACTATATCCATTTGGATGCATAATTATTTCCTGATAATCTGGCCACGATATTAATGTCTAGATGATTATGCTTCGTAACTTGGAAAGTCAATGAAAGAACTGCATATGTAGCTTTGCAGTGGTAAAGGTGGGGGTGTGTGTGACGATTACATTCCAACATAGGAACTCAAATCTGGAGAACCCTCTTTTCATTTAAGAATAATTAATAAGGAAAGAAAACCTCGCGAGTCCTATAAAAAGAAACTACTCGGGGGGAAGGGGGGGGGGGAGGGAGAATTTCATTTGCTGTATGTCTATACCCAGTGAAATAACAGCATAAAATGAGAAAACAAAGATTGAAGAAAGCCATCTGAAATATACATAGAATCAGCTGGCTGGCTCAGTTGTTGAGTGTCAACCTATGAACCAGGAGGTCATGGTTCAATTCCCAGTCAGGGTACATGCTTGGGTTGTGGGCAATTGCAAAAATAAGGGCTCCAGATGCATATAAATGCTTTTTTTCTGGAGCAAGGCAGAGGGAGAGCACCAAAAGGTGTCCAGAGCCTATAATCCTTGAGAACAGCTATTTAGGACACTAGACTTGTGCCAAGCATAAGGCCTGCCCCTCAGGTCACAGCTCCAAGACAAGCAAAAAGGTCGTGCCTGGTCAGCAAAGCTGCTGGCTGTCTGTCCTCTTTCCTTCAGACTCGGTTTGCTACTTTTAGCTGACAAAGCCATAAGTTCCCTAACAGCAGACCCAAATCCAATTCAACTATCTGGCAGCAAAGATACTTGGTTTTCCTGCCTAGCCCCAGGATGGTGAAACTGTGCTGGGGATGAAAATAGGAGTAGAAATATGAGTTGGGTAGTTCTCTTATGCAAATTCATTCTATATAATAAAAGGCTAATATGCAAATCGGCCAAACCGGTCACTATGACGTGCACTGACCACCAGGGGGCAAATGCTCAACGCAGGAGCTGCCCCCTGGTGGTCAGTGCACTCCCACAGGGGGAGTGCTGCTCAGCCAGAAGCTGGGCTCATGGCTGGCGATTGTAGCAGTGGTGGCGGGAGCCTCTCCTGCCTCCGCTGCAGGCGGGCAGTAAGGAGCAAGGGGTCCCAGACTGTGAGAGGACGCAGGCCGGGCTGAGGAACCCCCACTCCCCTAGTGCATGAATGTGGTGCACTGGGCCTCTAGTAGCTAATAAATATACTGAAAGAGTAATGATTCTCAGACTTACCAGTTAGAAATATGTGAAAGGGTCTTACGCAATACTTCTGCCAGTGACTCTGCACCATGACCAATTTCAAAACAATAAACCAAGAGAAGTATTTGCAATGCATATAACACATAAAGAGTTCATTTCCCTAATATATAAAGAATTCCTAAAAACTATAAAGAAAAAGTAGACTATAAAACACACAGAAAAAGAACCTGACTCATAATTAGACAACTACAAATTAAAACTAAATTAAGA